TACTGATCATAATTCCATTGTTGAGGTCTACTAGAATAGATTTATATTGTTCAATGTTCCAAACTCACATTGGTTTCTCATACAGCATCTCTGTATAGCATGTGTATTCCCTATGAGCCCACTGTGCTCTGATTGGTCAGCTCGCCCACTCTGTTCTGATAGTAAACCACCGTTACAGCGGAACATCAGTGTTTATGTGTTACAATGGCGTTAGCAACTAGAAAATGACACCAGTAATGACAAACGGATGAGAATGCTGCGTGGGGTCTGGGTGCCGTGTTGGCGGAACGTTGTGTCGTTTCCCGGTTGCTGCGAGACAGCGAGACACAGCGAAACCCAGCCCGAGCACACACACACACCCGCAGCCTGGCTGTGAGTCTGTGTGTGTGCTAAGGCCGAGGCCGAGCCTCGCCGCGTCCCGCCGTCTCAGGCTGAGTTCAGGCTGAGTTCAGGCTGAGAAATCTGAGGAGCTGCAGCTGAGAAAAGATTGAGTGTGTGAGGAAGTCCGCGGATTGATCACTACGTCACTATACCCAAGAAGAAAAAAATGGAAAAAGAAAAATCTCCAACGAGGCATTCTGGGGCGGCATAGCCAGGTATTTTCTGTGTTAGAGTTTTACTCGCTACAGGGTGTACTTTGAGGGTTTGTGACTCTGCAGACCGTTTACATGCAGAAAAAGCTACATACTGTAACACACAAGGGGACGGGTAATAACCGGAAAAGCATGACATGGGACCTTTAATACATCCATTGTAGGTACAGGAATACAGAACACTTGCTTACCGACAGCCATCATGTAGTCCCATCGGTCCAGCAGACACATGCTGAACTGCAGGCCCTCTGGGGTGAGGCCAGCGGTGATCAGAGCCGGGCTCAGTTCTGGGTTCTGGCACACAGCGGAGGTCCAGGCCACCAGGAACCAGAGCACCACCAGCAGGATCACGATCAGCAGCCGCAGTACCCTCCAGCTGGTCATGTAGGGCGTCCTCTGGGCAGTGCGGGACAGGAACACCTTCAGCACCCTGATGAGGTGAAGAAGTACTTTGAGATTGCTGGGTGAAATTATGAGAAGTGAGTCACATATTCTCTCCCAGCGATTGATATCTCTTGCCCCCAGCTTTTGCCCTTTCTAGCATGTCCACTTGAATTAAATGTTCAGTGAGAATTCAATTAATTATTGTTCGGTAATTCATTTTTTCAACATCTCTTATGGGGAGAGAAGATATCAGCGGAGGGCAGGAATTTGTCTTGGTGGAGATTAAGGTTACAGATTCTTTTTTTTAACAGTTTTATTTGGACATCTTTGACTACAACAGTTTCTATGATACCTGTGTTTAAAACCGTTATCAACAAACTTGCTATTATTTACTTATAGTGCTCTATAGCTTTACTTATTAGCACTCAAGATTTATAATGCTTTATACAAATAATCATGAAGTATAATTGTACTTCATAATTATGTAGAAAATGTTTATTTAACTCTTCTTTTCTTCCCTTAGTAAAGAAATGTAGTACCATGTTTTGTTTCAGTTTCCGAAAAGCAAACTATTATCACTTAGCATCACTTATAATCCCATTATAATGCATTATAACATTAATGACTATGTATTGCCTCTATAATAACCTATGTACTAACTGTCATACATTATGATCCTCACGTTATATTTGAGCTTGAGTCATTATAAAATGCGTTGTGATGTGTAATGATTATTGTTATGAGGAATTATTTACATTTTAACTATATTTAATTAGTGCAATAAACATATTATAATGCATCTGGTCATATGGGTGCCAGTTTTAAATGTTTCATCTCAGTGATGGTTAAACAAATGCTATTTGAACAAACATTAAAATGAATGCATGCAGAGTGAGTCAGTATTTGCACAGTATCTCCACTGCAAGCAAAACACAACAGCGCCTCTGCAAAGGGAATTAAAAATACTACTCATCAGCCAGAATAGTTTTAAAGTAATCTGATGCTGGGTAAGGAGAGCTTTTCTCTCTACAAACAGTCACTTCTCTTTTTATGGTCTCTGTGCTGCACCGATCTGCTCTCTCTTCGACAAGACTGTGACAAATCTATCGTATCTCTGATATATTCAACGAGACCGGCCTGTAAGAGCTTGGCCCCGGGGCACACTTCACACACAGCGAGCCTGGGAAAAAATCTAATTGGTAATTTTACCAAGGGAACACTCTCGCTGGCCTTTGGCCTCCTTCTACCATATCGGCAACACTCGCCCGGAGCTGGAGAGCAAGAAGTGAGTGTGTTTACGAATAGATACTTCAGCAGGAAGCACAGAGAGGAATTCAAATGTGCTTATGGACCTCGTGCACATCTATGTGAGTGCAGACTGAGAAGAGGCTGAATTATTGAAGCTGAAAAACACTAACATAGGGCACATTAATATCAGGAGAGGAAAGGAGATCAGGAAAGAAAAGGAGATGATGTGAGAAGGGGAGATGAGGAGATAGGAGGAGATGGAAGGATGAGAGTTGAGGCAAGGAAAGGAGATTAGATGAGGCAGGGGAAGGAATGGTAATGGAGATAAGGAAATGAGAGAAGATGGTGAGTAAAGGAGAGGAGATATGAGAGGAAAATGGAGAGGTGATAATCAAAAGTATATAAAAAGAAGAAAGGAGAGTGGATGTGGGAAGGAGAGGAGAGAGGAAAGGAAAGGATGGATCAGGAAAGTAGAGGAGGCGGTAAAGGGGATGAGGGGCAAGGAAACAAATGGAAATTAGGTTGAGAAGGGAGAGATGAGGGGAGGGGAGGAGATGGGAAGAAAGGAAAGGAGACGAGGTGAGGAGAGGAGATAGGAAGAGAGGAGAATAGAGGTTATGAGATGGCGAAAGGAGAAGAAAAGCAAAAGACATAAAGGCAACAAGGAGATAAATGAAGAGAAATAGAGCTGAGAACAAATAAGATAAGGATAAGAGACAAGGAGAGGAAATTAAGAAGAACAAAAGAGAGGAGGGAGGAGGAGGGAAGAAGTAGACAAACAGGAAATGCCTCAAGATGATTCCAGGCCTACCTGTACAGCTTGAGGATGACGGTGCCGTACATGACGGAGAAACCCAGGAGGCGCACCCACCTCAGGAGGATACAGCGAAACACACTGGGCTGGAAGAACAGGATCATCACCTGCAGAGGGAAACAGACACACACATTATATATATTCTTTTTTTTTGCAAACAGAGCATGGCACACCCACTGCTGTCACACTGATATTCATATAAGAAGGAATCAGAGATGACAATATGTGAGAACCAGAGCAGGAGGCAGTAATCCCCTTTGTATTACTAAATATGTTGTTCATATGTCAGCTGCCAGAGCACATCAGCTGTTAGAGTCTGAAGCGTTAGTTGTTCTCTCACTGGTGGTATTTAACAACCCCAGAGTGTGATTGTTTGCATGTTCATTTGAGTGGTGTCTATCGATTAAATAATATAATTGCGTTAATCACAATAATAATCTGTGATTAATCATGATTGATTATTTAATTATTGGGATGAAGTCTAACAACATTACGACACTTGCCTAAAGCATCAAAGTAGCTGTGATCACCCTCTGTTTAATGTGCGCTACACATCCTAGGATTCTATAGGGGTGTTCATATTGCGAGCACTATCATTTCCTACAGTGGTGACAGTGTCTTTCTTCTCCCACTCCTACTCAACTTCAAAAACTAGCATCTTAATCAGCTAAAACAAACGAGTGCAGTCGCCATTGGTCATGGATTAGGTGTGACGTTAAACTGCTCACTTATGTCCAATGGTCTTTAGTCGTAGTTTGTGCTTATCTTGGCTTATACAATATATTTAATGTTAAAAATATGTGCTGGAAGTTGGGATCAAACTTGATATTGTGATTATTTTTCCTTTTTTTACGTGATACGTTTTCCACAATAGTCGTAAGCGTTAACATCCCTTGTTCCTTTGTATTTTCAGGGCGTGGATGTTTCTGTATGTGCACATATACAGCCAACATTCTTTTTGTATGGTTTCTATGTAATTTGAATTTAAAAATACCTTTATTAAATGGCTCTTAAAATGTCAGCCTTTCCTTCTTTTCTTAGAAATAGTCTCACATGTCAAGCTGTACAGTTCAGAGCTCCCATTTGCACTATTGTTACAGCTGCGTTTTATTTGAATAGTATATGGCTCAGCGGGGCACTACTTGTCAAATCTCCAGTGACCCGAGTGAAGCGGAAGAACCTGTGCAGTGACTCTGAGCACATTTTCACTGAAGCAAAGAAAGCTGCCTGGCTCACCTGATGGATAGACATCTGCCACGATGTTAAAGAATGACCGCTTTCTGATTCAGCCTGTACAAATGTGCTCTGCATCAGTTCACACAAAATATGCACAGGAAGTTTGATGATCGCTGAACGCCAAAAGGCTAATGATTGTTCCGCATGTAAATCGCCTGATGAATGATGAATGCAATCAAATAAATCCCTTAATGACGCATCTTTATACCAGGTCCCCAATGTCAAAGCACTGACAGATGATTACTAAGCCAGCCAGTGAGCAGCATACAAACTTTTTGTAAAAAATAAAAACTTCTGCCTCGAGCCTCCCTTTAGCAAGTATTTTATGCATACACGTTTCAATTTAAGCTTATTTTCTAGTTTTTCTCCTAATTTCTTTATTGAAAACAATCATAAAAATAACTAAAAAAACAAGACCTACAATAAAGACGTGACATACTGTCTCAGAGAAGTAGTTACAACATTTTTTTTTTCTAATTATAAATCAATGCTTTGCCAGATCTTACAGCTATTTCTAAACAGAAGAAGTATCAAACAATGCTATTTTTTCCCCTGTGAAGTCTGTTTGGGTGATTGCACATGGAATGCGAGAACATTTTTCATGTGGCAAGTTTACATACGATGGGAGCCATTTGCCTATTCACGCAAGTATATATTGATCCATTGATGCTGACAAACTAAAGCTGTCGATGTTGAGATTCTCCTACTGTCACCAACGAAATAGAGAAACAGGTAAGTGAATCCACCTTTAGTCACTTGACATGACCATTAACAAACTTAAATGTTGGTGAGTCTATATAGCTTTACATGTTATATATATTTGTCTGAACAATACCTCTCTGCCATATTTAAACCTTATTTAGCGGACGGTTGAGTGTTGATGGAGCAGCTACAATGTTAGCCCGGGTCAATTCGAACTCCATTCAGTCACATTGCCTCTGACAGCAAGTTGAATATCATTACAGATGCAGATAAACATATCCCAGTGGAGTACAGCCAGTAATATATCCCAGCTCTTAAGATGCCTCATCATCCGAGAGACAGCAGCTATCCAGAGTAATTAAGCCTTAGCAACAACAACACCTCAAACCATTATTGCCTCAACTAAAAAAACAACACTGAGGGTGTAGCATTCTGGCTGTAAGATGTGTTCTCTAGCAAACATAATATCTAAGGGTTAGGGTTGTGTAATGGATTAAATTATTTACTTGTGTGTGACCTCCAAAATAAATGCAGGTTAAATGGTATGGCACAAATAAATTATTATAAAATGAAAATATTTAACAGCTATTCAGGAAGTTTGAATTAAAATACATTCTCAAGATGACTCACAGTGAGAATGTTTTGAGCTAGGGTTACGTTAAAATTAGCAATTTACTCCACCGCAGCGTGTTTCTTGCTTTTATCATCACCATTTGACCATGTTGTGTAATGACAAGCTGATCAGTTTTCTACCAAAACGCGACTCAGTGTGCAATTAAGCTGTCATAGCGTCCCTATTTCCAGCCTTCAGTCCATCCAGTCTCAGTTCAGCTCTATACAGACATTTCTCTCACCTCCTGATTAAGAATTTGTCACACAGAGTTTAAAGCAACAGTTTCCTTCCATCCACAATCCTCATCAAAACCTCGCTGCGCCAAATTCATTCATTAGTATGCCGGTCACGAGAAAGCGGGGAGCCAAGTCCATTTTATACCCAAGAACAGGAATTATAGCTGCTCCTTTCAATGCTCCGCCACCTACTGTGGCCCGACGTTGCAGCTCAGGATTGTATAAATTATTTGGTATCCGGTATTAGAAGAAAAGGTTCCATAATCATTTTGAAAGTTATTTATAACCAAAAGAATCCATCCATATTTCTGACAAATACACATTCTTAAATGTCAGTAATTATGTTGAAAGCAGCTTGGCATGACTCATAGCTTGAACATCAATATATGCTTTACTGACATTTCCTTTTCTTTTTTTTCAAGGAATAGATAAACAATCGGGGAAATAGTAATTACTTTCTTTCAAAGAGTTATGTGAGAAGCTTGGCGGTTGTTGGATCTAAGAAACTTTATTGTTGTAGCTGTAAAAGCCACCAAACTAAGAGGTGATAATCTAAGCATAAAGATTTGAAATTTCTAGCGAGCTAGCTTTCTCTTTCCAAAATCTTTTTTTGTTGTTTATGTTCCACTAGGATCTTTGAACCTTGATGATATGATAAGGTAATGATAACTAGCAACAATAGTGTGCAGTGACTGTTTGTTACGACTGGAGCACACAAAAACTGATAGGACCCAAATGCACGACTCCAGACAAGAGATGATTCAAAAAAGGTTTTACTGTGATGATGAAACAAGGTAATCCATTCACAAGGTAATCCATACACAAGGTTCAAAAACGATCTGGCACTGAGCACAGGGAACACACAGAATATTTACAAAAGCAAGGGACTCCACAGGTGCAAACAATAAGGGCGGGGCAGGTAATCAGGTCAGTGGACAAACAGGCAAGGTAGGAATCGAACTACCTGAAATGAGAAGGGAAATGACAAAGTAAAACAGGAAATGGCAGACACGGACTTGAAAATATAGACTCACAGAGAAATAATACTAACAGATCTGACGAGACACAACACTGTTTGCAAGCGAACCATTGTGCTGAAAATACGAACAGTATCTGGCAACACAACGAAAGGTGCCGTAGTTCATGAAAAAATAGTTACAGTGCGTAACTTTCCCGAAGGCTAAACATTTACACGTTTGTGTTTGGAAGGATTAACCAACAAGTCAGTTTTAGAAGCATTGTGAGGCATTTACTTTGTTCAGACAAAGCAATGCTAATGTTTCCCCATGTTTCTTATATTTATGCTAAGCTATGCTAAGTGTTTGCCCCCCGCTTGCACATACATGAGAATGGTATACATATTTTTATCTCTATCTCAGAAGATTAATTTGTAGCTTTTTTCTAATATACTGAGGTATTCTTTTTAATCTGCATTTGCATATTTGTTTGGCTGCTTGAGGGCAGCATAACAAGCTGTTGTCTATAAATACAATCAACATCTTGTAAGCTTATGAAGTTAATTTGCTAAACAGTGGCAACATTTACTCCTGACCTGGCCACCTGAGGAACACAAGCCCAGTATTCTCTCCCCTTTTAGCTCTGTTTTGGTCCCCACCAACGTCTTGGAGGAATATCTGGATCTTAAGCTGCTAAATGCTAGGTTGCCCACTTTTTGTGTCTGAGAGGATAAGAAGCTTTGCAGAGAATTGTTGTCAGTAGCTTATAGAATAAAATAAAAAAAGGTACATTTTACTTAGACACATACGGTATACCTATAAATAGTAAAACCAGAGAAACTGATAATGCTGCAGTGGTCTCTTAATTCTTTTCAGAGCTGTATGTGACATTTTACAAAATATGTATTAAAAGTAAAAAACACATTTGTTACCCTCTGAGGAATTTAACCACATCATTTTTAAAGGGACCCTATTATGTTCTTTAGGGTTTCCCTTTCCTGTATTGTGTTATATAGGTTGTGTGCATGTTAATGGCCTGCACAGGCTAAAATCCCAAAGTTCCCTCCAACAAAATAGGTTATTTTACAGAGAGTATAAGAAAATAAAGCACTTTTTGAACATTGAAGCATGTAAACATGTCACAGTACAGGTTCAAAATACAATTATGAAACCTAAAAATGAGCAAAATAGGGTCCCTTTAAGTAAGTTGACGTATCTATGACGCTTGAAATGGGGTAATAACCAGTCAATCAGTCTGACAGCATAATTTTTCTCAAGCTCTGATTTATTTCCCATGGATGAATCAGTTAATCTCTCAAACTCTCTTTAAATTAGTCTGGAGCAGCAGGAGAAATAACAACTAC